TGTGAACGATTGCTCCAGTCAACTGACGGTATCAAAAACTCAGCGGTCACCAACCTCGGCGCGAACAAACTCGCGCTGCGCTTTACTGGGCCGCTTACGGTAACCAAGGTTATTGGTGACGCCTACACGCTCGGCATTCCTTTGACACTACGGCTATATCCGACGTTCTACGTCGGACGTTCAAAGAAGAACCATCCGTCCGAGATCCCGGACGCTGATTCGTCCTCGAGTGACGCGGCAACTTTCCCGCGAGATGGTCCTCCTCCTTTGATCGATTATTCGGGCGCTCAGCGCTGAATCGCTAAGCGAATCGACATTCGCTAATGCCATGGTACCCGCGACAGTCACACTGAAGAGTTTCCACAGGGTTGAGCCCTGCGGGACAAGGAACAACACTGTCATGTGCGTTGGCTGAGACTCTCCCCAGGTGAAGATACTTGGGCGCCGCACTGTCGCCTGCTGGAAGACGTTCCCGATAACGAGAACGAATGCGAGAAGACACTCACGTTCCGAAGCGTGAGTGAGCCGGATGTTGATAACCGCAGTGAAGAAGACGACCACTTCCGCGGGTACACGGAGGTGCTCGTCGTGATAATTAAGAAGAAAACTGGAGTCGACGCCGAGATCGAGCCGGTGACCAGCCGCACGAGAACTCGGCACTGTTCCACTGAGCCACATGGTGAGTAAGCCGAGTGAACAAGTGAGAGTGAGTGAGTGAGTGAGTGAGTGAGTGAGTGGGCGACGCGAGGTTCCACGACGACGAGTGAAACGCAAGCTCGCAGGACGCCTATATTCCGACGTCGCAGTCGAATGGATCTACAGGATACGTCTCCGTACTCTGTGCAGTCACACATCGTCGCTCAGTCAACTAAGTAAAGTGGTTGTAGTCCCGTATTCGCGGTCTCAAGTACCTGGTGCGCTGTCTTCGTGATCCTCGTGTCTGCTAGAACATCGTGGACTTCCCGTGAACGTCCCACGATGGGTGTATCCCCAAATACAAGGAAGTCTCCAGTCAGCTCTCGGTCTTTGCGTCTGTGACGATCATCGTGCCAGAGTTTCCTTGCAAAAACTGCTGCACATGCGCTTGTCGCGGAATTTGATCACCGGGGGAAATTTAACTCACGCGCACTGCGCGTGACCATGCTTCCTTATCCGCTCGGACACGACGTCGCAGAGTTCACAAATGTGCCCCAGGACATGTGCAAAGGTCAAGGCCCCACTCCGACAGAACCTAGTCCCTCGCCTGGCACGTCGAAGCCCACGTGTGTCGACGCCAGCGCCGGTGGCCTCCAAGCTGTTGCCTGAGATGGCTTCTCGCTCTGCACGCTCGCCGCCGAGCGTGGTGTCTCTTGTTGATACGTCAGTGGCTTGAAATCGCGAGTGTCGCCGCTGCCATGTCCGCCGTCCCAGCAGTCTTCTCCAATGTTCTTCATCAGCGCTTATGTTGCGAAAGTGCAATTTATGAGTGGAAGGGTAATGTAATGGGCCCCTCCATTACATAAGTAAGTGGATTTCTTTACATAAGTAGGTGCATCAGCACACCACTAGCGTGTGCTAAAATGCTGTCATGCCATTGGCTGATATATGGGGAGCCAGACCCATTATTAGCCGACGTGTATTTGAGTGGCCAGAGCTGCTGCCTTGGTCCTAAAATAAAGTCAGAATCGTTTTTTCCTCAAATGTAAGACTCAGTCGTCCTAGTTCGAGCTTCATCAACACTATAGTGTAAGCAAGTAACGGAGCAAATACCTGGTCCGCTACGCGCTCTGATAGTTTTTCTACTTTTGTGTGTTCGGCTTCGGAGCGACGACGCTTATATTTTCTCTGTAGGTATTTCGCCCATACTCGAGTGTAGCTGTGATCACGCTTTATCTGGCATCGCTACTCGTAAGCGCTCCTTTCTGTCACGCGCGAAGGTTTGAGTCCAAGCTTGACATGTATCGTCTCTTGGCGCCCCGCCCATGAACTAGACAAAGAGTTGTCCAAACGAGTGACATCGAACGATGTGTTCGCGAGCATTGACCTTTCAGCGTGCTGCCCAGTCACTTGGGTTTGAAAATGAGATATACGCCCAGACGCCCCCACACTACCGTCTGGACAGAACGTTCCGGTTGGTCATTGGTCTACGGACGATAGGCTAATACCACTCGCTGTATACTTTCCATGAGCTCCCGGAAGCGAGTGAGGAATTCACTCACCAACATCGAATCTTGGTTGTGTCGACAGGGCTCCCGATGATGACATTATTATTTATCGAAAGCCTAAATGATGGCAGTACAGTATCACATATACAAAGAGCACGCAATAAATAGAAGCATAATATAAAGCAAAGCAACTCCATGTTAATTGTCAATGATTGGCCTCATCGACGGTCTGTGCTGTCCAGTACCCACCGTTTTGCCGCAGAAAAAACACCGTTTCCAGAGTAACTGTCTGCAGGCTGTGATGCTCTTGACCGTATGTCTTCCGTGCAACGCTAAACAACCGCTTAACCACGTTAAACGTGGGCGGAATGACGCTTAGCAAATTGCCTTGAACCGCTGCCAGCCGACGCCCTTTGTGTAGATGTTCTACAAAAGAGCCTTCCTCTTCGCTGACGGCTGCATCATCGGTGTACTTACATCCGCGCAGCGGAAGGGCTGGAACGCCGCCTTCTCCTCCCTTATCAGCTGGTGGCTGCCCTCGAGGACGCGAACGCAATCCGACTCGAAGTCGGGACTGTGTACGATGTCGGCACGGGGTCCTATATGACACAAAAAAACAAAATGTTCAAAAAATGCACATTAACTCAATACGATACAATAAAATTAAGCTTACCGAGATATGTGGCGTACTGCGATTTTACAGAAATGAGACAGTCGAGCCACACCCGAACATCCAACAATGTGACGCTTGAGTCTTGTAGTGCGTTGGAAACCGTTCCAAGCTTTTCAGCCCCTTGAGTAGCGACAGCAGGCGCTTGTTGCACGACGGCGCTGAAGGAACGTTCACGAGCGCACCATCCGTTGGGTCGTGGTGCTGGAGGAACAGAAAGTAGCGATGTAGCATACGAAACGTTGAACGCCAGCATGTGTCCTGCCGAATTACAGGACGAAGTGGCGTCTTCAGCCTACATTTATAGTCGTATCAAAAATATAAACTTCCAAGCTAGTACGATACTTAACAAATAAAAACCATCACAAATATAGCAATTACCTAAGCTAGGCAGTCTGCTTCAGGGTTCGTAGTCGCGCGATTAGGGCTTGAATGTCTGCTAAGTCTTCTTCATGCTGCTCCATATCCACTTGGACTGTCCTATTTAGCCGGTGGCTAGCACATCCAATAAATGGGACACCCGTGAGCGTTGCTAGCAGTCGATTGACGGCGCAGTTGTGCCCATAAAAATAACCAATCCACCATCTGCTTACCAAAGTCGCGGGGCAGCATTCCAACTAGGAGCTCATAGTGCCCGCGCGCCGAGTGGTCCTCGTCCGGCTCGCTCAGCAGCGGTACCATGCAGAGGAGCGGGACCTTCATGACGCCGACTTCGTAGCAGGCGAAGCCAGCGACGAAATGGACAGACGCGTGACCCCAGTCGTCCAGAAATAGGCCAAATTGCGAAGGCATCTCGGCAGCGATGTGACGCTCCACAATCCGAGTGAGGCTTTCCACGGATTGTTGAAGTGTCTCGAGACACATCAAATTCAAATTTGTGTATCTGAGTAGCACCAAATTAGTCTGGCTAAAAATAGAAAACATATTTACACTAAGTTAATAAAATCGGCTTACCTTCAAGCATCAGGATTCTCGCAGAAGTTGTGCGGGAGGCCGCTCTTGACAATCCAATCGAGCCAGCCGAATACGCTGAGTGCTGATCGATGGACGTAGCTTAGCAGTGAGCCAGTCTTAGCGATAGGTGCAGGAGCATAATAGCCTCTTAGTCCGGGTGCACCCAACAGACATACTGCATGAGGTTTGAGTAGCAGCTCCGCCGGGTCTGCTTCCGAACCGTGCCGCAGCGACAGCGAAAGTACTCAGAGACGATCCCGTCGTTAGCGTTACGGAACAATCGGAAGTAGTACCCGGTAGCCTGGACTGACGTGAAGGTGGCGTGACGAGGGCGCGAGGCAACGACCATGGTGGCTTAGCGAAGAGGCGAGTGACTTTTGTTACTCAAATTGAAGAGTGAGGAAGCCAGCAAGCTGTGTCTTGAAGCTGGCTTCGAGAGCAGCGTATTTTAAGTATGCGGGGAGTAAAGGTTGTTGTCAGATGTACATACTGAAAAGAGATGCATTAATAAACTATGACAGATGACTCTTTTATTCAAATCTTACCCCCTAGTGGAGTCTGGTGTCTGTCAGTCCTTCCGTAACGGGCTAAGGTTCCAAAATGTAACGCAAATACGCGCGTTCTACTGGCTGCCGAGCGCAGCGAAGGCGGCGTCGATTCGCTAAAGCTGCCGAGCGCAGCAAAGGCGACCCCCATTGGCTAAAATCGGCATTGTGTTTTGTACACACTGTATGTGGACAGCACATCGTACTTAAAAGCACCGTTTATATTTCATTTTGCTCTCATTTTCAGCTGCGGCTCGCAAGGTCACGCAAAGGGCGCAGCCTGTGTGCGCGTTTATTAGCATTAATAGGAGGCACCGACGTGCACACACATACCATATTGTCGTAAGAGCTGTAGACCTTTTTTGTAGGCCCTGGTAACTTATATTTCGGCCTCAATCGAAACTTTAGTACTTATTGGATTTAGAATGATGTTTTAGGCTTCGTAGTACTTTTCTAATAATTAAACCTGCAATACTGCTTTAAGTAGTACTACTGTACTATCAAAACACTTCATATTTTTGCTTCCTCTTATTTGTAGTAGTAGTACACATAATAATTATATCAGCGTTTGATAATAAATAGCAATTGTATTACTATTAGTAATAATGTGAAAACTTTAAAATATGACTATTGTGGCTTACACCCCTTCACACCACACTGCCTCCGGGAGAAAGCATCATCTTCCTTTCGTCAAGCTTGGGTATAGGGGCGAAAGACTAATCGAACCATCTAGTAGCTGGTTCCCTCCGAAATTTCCCTCAGGATAGCAGCAACTTAGTATTTGCGCGCGTAGTGTGCGACCCAAAGATACTGTGCGCACTTCCAACACGATATGTACCGTTCAATAAACAAAATGGAAACAGCGTCTGCGATTGAAACAGCGCGGAGGCACGTGATTAGGCAAGAGCACGATACCCAGAGGAACACCGAGCCAGACTATGTAAACGATGGTATACAACGAACAACACAAAGCATGGAAGACCGCGGACGATAAAAGGGGACTGAACCGATACAGGCTACAAAATTGTATGCAAAGCCCGAATCACGGAAGCAAAATCGCTCCCATTAAAAACACGGAAAAAATGAAATGAAGGAAGTGTATGCGGGCTAACAAAATGACACCTGGCATGCGAAGAGGCACGGACCATGAAAGAGCACGCACGTTCGAAGCCACGGTAGAACACGTAACGGCGAGATTGCACAAAACATTATTCTCCCATAACACCACGGTAGAACGTGGAGCACAGTCAACGGACCAAATATGAGCCCACCGGAGACCAAAACCGGGAAAGCACCGAGCATTAAAGCACGATGCCTGGGTAAACAGGAGCTCACTGATCCACGAAGCGCAACTCTACGGTAGCTAACGATGACACAGACGACCGACCTGTCGCGACACCAGATATAACACGATAGCATGGACGGTGGGCCAACCACTAAATCATTGGAGAAACTGCAGCCACAGAAGTTATCGACGGAAGATCACCGAGCCGCGGAGAACGATACTAGTGTAGAACCTGAGCTCCCCGAGCCACAGAGGACGAAAGCGCATTAGAATTTGATTGAACGGACGACGGACCAGCCAAGAAATAACGGGAGAAGGATTCGGGAGACCACGATTGCACAACGTGGAACACGCTATTATCGTAGAGCATGATAGCAAGGGAAAAACATATATACTACGCGAGCACAATAGCATAGGCAACAGAACCACACTGCGCTTGCACGATAGCGCGATAATGGAGCCTCACCAGGAGAGCACGATACATGGGTGACGGAACAACAGGAGCGCGTGGAGGCATTAAAGCACGGAATAGCACCCATCGGATAGAGTATTGGCAATGGGAGGCCAACGACCACGAAAAAACTACGTACCACGAAACCGGTGCAACCCACGTAAACGTTTGAGAGCAGAAAATAGTTATCAGTCCCCAAAGCCGCAGTACTAAAGAGCATGGGCCCACAAGAGAGAGAGTGCATAATCGCTGAGCAGCGTGTGCCACGGGTGAGCAGGGAACCACGAAGCCAGGAAGAGCACGAAAGAGCACGGGACATTGAAGAACACGGCATCCAACCTGTAGTCCGTGGTAACGCAAACATACCAAACCATGATATTGTACGGGTCCAGATGAGACTACGGACTGGTAAGTGGTTAAGTACACGAAGCCAAGATCTGCTGGGGTGAACGACGCTCATAAATCACGCGACACCAGAAAGCACTTAAATTTGCGGCCACCTCATCTCCAACAAACCATGCCACTCCGCCGCGTAGCGGCGGCGAACGGCTAGTCCTAAACTATCAATGCTAGCACGGTGTCTGTCCGTCCGTCACACGAAACGCTCAGGTTTTTGAGCTTTATCATTGGCTGTCGAGCGGAGCGAAGGCAGCTCCAGTTGGTTAAACATAATTATGTAGCTTACATCAGTAAATTCGTGCGGTTCATGAGGCACATAATATGTTATGGAGATTTGCACAAGACTACAGTACTGCATCCCGTTTACGCGGGGGTGGACCATATAGATTTTGCAAATAAATCAGATTTTAGCTTACAAACTTCAGTTCATTTGGATTCAGGATCATCACATCCGGAAGTTTATCAAAAATTCCAGAGGCGCGAAAACGGGGTGCAGTACTGTATCCATTATCCGAAGGCGGCATCGTTTTTATATTAAGAAGTATTAATATTTACTATTTTAATAATGCATGTTGCTTTTAATATTTGAGTGCTAAGCAGACAGAGCTACTTATTTTCAAATGAAATAGCCCCTAAAGGCGCTTCCTATTCTGCAAGGTGCTTAGCGTACACGTAGGAATGCGTATTTTCGAGGCCGTTTAATATAAGTAATACTATGTTATTAATAGTTTCTGCAAGTTTCAATGACTAAAATATTAACTACAACTGTTTTGTTGTCGAAATATTAATTATTATATGAGTGTGCTGAGCTGCTAAATCGTAGTGCATGTACAACAGAAGCTGGCCGTAAGAACTGCCCGTAATAGCAACGCTGTGCTAATAAACGTCGTCACTTGATCCATAAAGATAGATAATTTTTTTTAGATTGAACAAAAATAACTCATATGTGTAACTGCTGTAAATATTTGTTTTCTAAGAGTTATTTAGACAGGAAAAATTTGATACTACTTAACGGGCGGACGTGTCGCCGACAAGGGAGTAGGATACGATTTTAAATGGAGCGGCAAGACAACAACAAAACACGAGAGGTGTTAATTATTGTTGGTTAAATAGACCCCATAAAGAAACGTTAATAAACGTGGACGTCCAATGATTCTGAAATCATCGTTTAATTATCAAATAGAAAACACTACCGTCAACAGCAACAGCAGCAAGGCGTCTTGCGACACAATATGCAAATGCTTCAATCGTAACTGGCACAGATTCGAGTGCTAATTCTGAATCAGCTCAAAATATACGCTATAAACATTAAAAATAGTACAATTTGAATATTTTTTAGCTTTCATTGAGTTTGATATGAAAGGAACAATCTTTAGTTACTACAAGCAGTACAAAGAGGTAAGTAGTGCAAGCTGGACAGGCCATTACTATCTTTTGCGCTGATGTGAGCTAAATTTCGTAGCGGCTCAGAAGTGGCCCGTGATATCGAGCACGACGCTAAACTAAACATATTGTGTAGCGTTTGTTTAAATGGTTTTTTAAGTGCTGGTGGTTTTGGATGGAAGATGAAAATACAGTGATAGCCAGCAATACAAAAGGTATTGCATCAAGAATCTTGATTCAAGATAATAAGAATAATTATTTCTTAAATCAGATAAGCATGATGCTGACCCAAATTAATGAAATAAAAAAAAGATTTACGCTCACATGGGCTCAGCGGTTTTTTCAATAGTTATCCCGCCGAAGCGTAGCGAAGGCGGGAAGGCCAAAGCAAGTCGAACTAAATCTAAACAACCGCCGCGTAGCGGCGGCGCTCGGCTAGTAAATTATCCAGAACGCTCAGGTAATCCCAAAAAAGTATTTTTGATGATTCCGTAAGAAATAATTGAAGAGACCATGCCATCATCGGGAGCCCTATATGACCGTCGTGGTGCAGCGAAAAGACGCTTACTAACCATGTACACCGATCCAAAGAATGTGAATTTTAAGCTATTGCGGGACTCGAAATGTATAATATCCTAGAGCATCCAGAATTGTAGGGTACGCTTTGAAGTGATATGACCTCAATAGTTTTTTTAGGCAGTGAAAAATACAACGAAATTTCTGCTACGAAATTTGATTGGTTAACTTTAGAGGTGATTATCTCAAAAATCCCAAATGTAAGTTACGCTGTAGCTTTTACACATTGTCAGCGCGATCTTGCCTTTTGTATCAATAAAAATTGTGCTACTTCATCAACTTATCACTCGTCCCAGCTACAATTGTAATTGTCGGAAGCTTTTCGTTTTCTTAAGTTATTATCTTTCTTCGGTCTCTTTTGCCAACATCAGCTTTGAAATAGTTAGTGATACAATCCACATTCATGTAACTTGTTTTAATAAAGGCACGTGTTACTGTGCCCATCTGGGGGGAAATGTAACGAGGCATTGGTTCCCATCCGACACCATCCGACTCCCACATACGACCATTTGTGCCCATCTGATCCCAACTACCGAAAGAGCCAGTAATGTAATATTTTGATGCGTGTCACGCAACTATACAGGTTTGCTGCGATTAACCGGACTCCTATACGGTGATTAACCGGACTCTTATAGGGCTTTGTCTGTCTTGGACTGACAGCAAGCTACGGCTGAGACATCTCACAAGCGCATTTTCATTCGCATCTTACTACTGGTTTGGTCAAAAATATAATGTATTTAAATGCACAAGCTAAGGTATCTGTAGCGCAGATACTGCAGCGTTTTCTTGTCGATTAGTCCCGGCGACTGTGCACCTGCAAACACCTCGCAGGCGACTAGAACATAGATACCACAATTGTAGCTATCTGTTTGGACTCCGAGATGGCTCCCATAGCTTTGGACGCGACACCCTTCGAATCCTTGCACCCGAAGCAAATTTTTGATGTGTTCTGCAGCTGAACGGACTCCAACCTTGTACGTCGACTCCATCGGATCGTAGAAGTAGATTCTGCGCTTTTCGAGGTCAATCATGATAACACACCAGTGGTTCAGGTTACGGTTGACTGGAACCAACACTTGCTCCGTGGATGCACCGAAAAACAGAGCGGGCAAAGCATCATCGTCGGTCCAAATTTCGCCGTTAACAGGCACACGTATTGAGCCTGGACTTGCCACTCTAATCATCGGATTTGGACCGAACAGTTTTGTCAGCAACGTGCTCATAGTATCGTCGCTAAGTTGCCCCTTTGCAGCAACATCTAGCACGTGCATTGTACCCACATAACGTCACAATATGTCAGTGATTGAGCACGTATTATGGACAACATGAACGAACCTCATCCGATAATATATGCAGCTCCTTCAGTTTTGTGCTCATGCTCGCGTCTTCTTGTACCTGAAACGTACTGTAAAGCATCATGCACCATGAAAGAAAACACTTTGTACTTTGACGCGTTCGTTCCATGAGTTGCGTCGATAAGCATAACCTCTGGAAAGCGGGAAAATAGTTCACGCATGTGCTTTGTTTGCAGTGTTATGCATGTAGCAATTTTCTATTCAGCACCATGTAAAACAAGGAGTCTGAGAAAACCAGTCGAGCTGCATAATAAAAAAGATCTACGTACTTTTTGGTCGTGCTTCTCCACAAAGACGCGACCCACATTACCAGGCCCATCCCCAAATTCTTGCATCCACGTCTTCAGTCTCTGTTTGCTCGTCGTCCCTTCACGCTCTTGGTCCTTTAGGCGCTGAATGAGGTTGTGAACGTCGCGAATTTTCATACTACAGTCTGAATTTTCGAGGACAAACTGCAGAATATTTTTCTTCGTTGCCTTCGCCTTGCGCAAAACATCAACCGTCTTCACCATGGAAGGAGCAAGTGCCGTTCGGACCGACGAGTAGTGCTCGTAGTTGGAACGAGTCAGGGGATGGTTATGCTGCAGTTTGGCAGTAGTGACGCATAACGCGAACACAGGGTCGTTTGTGCTACCATTGACGACACGGACACAAGCGTTTTTCTGAAGGAAGAGCACATATTTTGTCAGTATTACGAAAGTCATTACAGCACATCCAGTTGCAGGTGTCCCATCTGAGCCCGACTCGATGGGAATTCACCCATCTGTGCCCAACTCGATAGTATTTAGCCCAACTCTGCCCAAATATAAATGACTACATACCTGTGCACCGCACTCAGTCGATCGTATTTCCCGACGTGACCGCTTGCCTTTACCCCGCGGTTTGTACTTGCCCGCGTGGGTGCAAACAAGGGTCTTGTTGTACCAGATCCACTCCTCTGGAATTAGAGGAGCTAAAGTATTTTGCTTCTGGATTTTGCGGTTGCGCTCCTGGACCTTGTTGTTAGTACGAATTCGAAAGCTCTGGTACACATACAGTAGTAATTAGGCTAGTTGTCAACTAAACAATTCCTTAGCGATGCGAACCTGGTATGTCTGCGCCATATACTCGTTGAGGTAAGCATGGAATGACTCCCACGAGTCAAACTGCATCTGAAGTAGCTGGGGAGCTAAGGCACAAGATGTCTCTCCGCTGTAGGCCTCCTCTTGGGCGCTCTGTGTCTCGAACTGGCTCGAGGTTTGCGACGACTGTACACTCGAGTCCCCGGATGGCAGTGTCCACTCGGCGTCGCTGTCACCGTTGTCGCTATCATCTTCACTCGGAGCAGCGTACTGTGGGCGCTTTTGTGCGGAACGCGGCCGGCGCTCCATACTTGCCGCTTTGCTCTTTTTGTCCAAATGAGGGGGAGCCACTCGTTCTGTCGTTGCAGTATACTGTATACGCCGTCGTTCGTATAGCGTGCGCAGAGCATGACACACGAGGAATAGGGCATGACAAAGAAGAGACCTCCTCAGATGGGCGCAGTAGCCACTCTCTTTAATAAAAGCCGTCATGGTGTATTATCATGGTCGGTGATTAAAGGAAAAACGAGCACAAAACAGATTTTGTGACGGCAATGTAACGCTCCTTTCGATGTGAAAAAGAGCAGGATGGTAGAACATGGTATGCAATTATTAACAGTTTCGTCTTCCAACAGTCCCGGTCTTAAACCCTGGGAGGACCTAACAGTAGAAGATCGGATCCAGTCCTATGAAATGACGCTGCACTTCCCAGCTCGACACAATGCAGTGAAATGGCCTCAAGAAGCCAAGCAAGTCGATCGTTGCGTGAGACCGACGTCGTATGATCGCCATGCACAGAAAGCCGGGAGCCGTGCATAAAGTGGCTTTAGGACTCCCGTTTAGTTTTAGAGTAAGGCAAGGACGCAGCTTTCGTTCGCAACGCAGGCGGGGGCACGTCAGGTACCAAATGGATTTGCGTACGTCCGATCGCGCGGTGCACTGCAAGGCATATCTGCCGGCGCAGTGGTGTTGTAAATTACAACAACTTGTTATTGACAACATCGCAGCTGCGAGCCAAAAAGTTTTTGATATCACGACGAGCACCACCAAACACAAAGCGTCGAGCAACCGTAAGATAAAGCTTGTCGTCAATCTGTTTTAATAGCGCCCGATGGTCCATGATCAGCTCTTCCCTGCTCCGGGAAAGACTTGTTCGCCCTGGCCGTAAGGGTGGACTTGCTCGGTGGGACGTTTTCCCAGTTTTGTTCTGTAGCCATGTGGGGTGGATTTGAGCCAATCAGGGCTTGTCTTTGCTACACTTAAGCGGGAGCTGGCTTTGTGGCTAGGGCATTGCCGTTTCTGGGCTGTCCGTTCTGATTGGCTCAGCTTCAGCGAGTCAGAAGAGGAAAGGAGTTGCGGCCTTCCGCACTGACCCGCACTGATCCCTCACAACCAAACAGGCGTCGGCATTTCGAGTGCAGAATTCGCAATCGATACGACGACCATCACTCCTGCAAGTCCGCACTCGGTTCGGCAGGAACGATGGCCACGACGCCCGGCGGCAAGATGGACCGGCGCCGCGCCGGCTCCAACTACTTCCAGCTCGATGCGGACCGCAAGCGCAACACGTCCAACAACCGCAGCAACTACGGCGACGGCCGTGGCACCTTCGGAGACCGCTTGAGCTTGATGGAGGTGCTTCCTCCCAACACACAGGGCGGCAACCAGATGCGCGGCGGTGGCTTACAGGGCGACTTTGCGGACGAAGTGTCGATCGATTTTTGCTGCGAGGTACTGTACAACAAGTTCGGCTTCCAGTCAGGCAGTGTGGACAACCAGCGCGAGCACGTGCTGCTGCTATTGGCCAATTCCAAGGCGCGTGCCAAGCCCCAGGACCCTCCGGGACACCACGTCGTCACGCTGCACAAAAAGCTCATGAGCAACTACACGGAATGGTGCCAGTTCATCGGCGTTCCCAGCATCTCGTACTCGGGACAGCCACAGGGAGACCTCAAGAACCCTCTGCACATGGACATTATGCTCTTCCTGTTGCTATGGGGAGAGGCTGGTAACTTGAGGCATATGCCTGAGTGCCTCTGCTACTTGTACCACCAGTCGCTAAACTTGCTGAACCAGGACTTCCTCGGTCAGCAGAAAGTACCTGAAGGTTGGTACTTAAGGCAGGTGGTGCGCCCCATCTGGAAGGAGGCGTCTAACATGCAGAGGAAGAACAGCTTGGGCAAGAACTTGGAGCACACCCAAGTGCGCAACTACGACGATATCAACGAGTATTTCTGGAAAAAATACTGTCTTAACGTGGATGTCACGCAGATCGGCGAGGAGCTGACCAAGAAGCACACCAAGACATACTACGAGCACCGCAGTATCTTCACGCTCGTACTGAACTACTACCGTATTTTTCAGTTCAACATGATGTTCATGATGGTCCTGATGGCGATCGGCTTTATCTCGGCCATCTCGCCTAGCGGAGGACAGCAGTGGTTCGCTCAGTTCGGGTCTATGGGAGAAGTGGTTGAGCCTTACCAGAAACAGGACGTTAAGCTGACCTACGTGGGGATTGTGTTCGCCCTCTCCTCGATGGGATTCTGCAAGACCGTCCTCGAAGCGTGTCACGGATGGCACTTACTCACTGCCAGTGAGTCGTCACAGACGTCGTCTCGTTCGTTCAACTACGGTGGTGCCCTTGTGGTTCGAATGCTCTGGAATGGCGCGTTCGCTGGCATTTTCGGCTTGATGATCTACACCCCGTTGATCACGAGCAAGAACACAGAACTGCTCGATAAGGCTGCACCGGCGTCTGTTGCCTACATCCTGCCTGGCGCACTTATTATCGTCGTGCAGGCCTTTGCTCCATCGGTTGTAACCAAATCGTTTGCGGCCAAGTTTATCCGTGAGGGAGAAACGTGCTACGTTGGCCGCAACATGGCGCCTCCACTGAGCTACCAGCTCAAGTACATCACTTTCTGGATCATTCTGTGGGCGCTGAAGGCGTTCGTCTCATACTTCATTCTAGTTCGCCCATTGGTTCTCCCGTCGCTGGCCATTTACGAGATGGAGCTCGAGTACGGTAGCAATGTTGTTTCGTTCCACAACTTCGGAGTCATCGCTGCGCTGTGGCTGCCTGTGATCTTCATCTTCAACTACGATACCCAGATTTACTTTACCGTGTTCCAGGCTACACTTGGTGGCGTTCAGGGTCTCATCATGAAGACTGGCGAGATTCACGGCATCAAGGAGATTACCAAGGCTTTCCGTGTGGCTCCACAACTCTTTGACCAGAAGGTTGTGACCAATCTGGCTCGCTCGAACGACGCTGCGGCTGACGGATCTGCTGCTGCATACCAGTCGCAAATGATGCTGCGCTTCGTGGTCGTCTGGAACGAGATTGTCAACTCGTTCCGCGAAGGTGACCTGGTGGACGACAAGGAGGCTGCCATCCTGCAGTATGACATCCAGAGCTCGGGCGACGTGTTCGAACCTGTGTTCCTTTCGGCGGGTAAACTGATGGAAGCTCTGGACTACACGGTTAAGATTGCCAAGGAAGGTAAGGGCGACTCGCAGCTTCAAGTGTACATGGTGCAGAAGGATTGTCTATCGGCTGTGCGCAGCTTCTTCACAGCCAGCATGTACGTGATGGAGGCTCTGCTGGGCAGTGACGATGCAGACATTCTTGATGCGCTGCGTCAAATGGAGGCGATTGCTGCGAACAGCAGTTTCATGAGCACGTTTGACGCCAAGAGTCTAGTGCAGCTGCGCACAGTCTCGATGGAGTTCCTGGAAGCTGTGATGGATCTGCCCGACCCGGATGCGCAGTCCTCGCACATGACATCGTCTCGAGTGCACACCATGGGAGTTGTGCGTAACTTCGTGACCAAGATGGAAAACCTGCTCAACGCTATTCGCATTTTCGCCAACCGCCCGGAGCTCGCTGCCAAGTTCAGCAACTCTAAGTTCTGCTCGAGCGCCAACGGCTACGTGTTTGCTGCTCGTGGCCTCGTGAACCTGTTCCACAACGACACTGCGATGGGTGCTGCTACCCGTGCGTACCTCTTGATGTCGCTCGAGAAGGCCGATGCTATGCCCCGTGTGCCTGAGGCTCAACGTCGTCTTGGTTTTTTCATGAAGTCTCTTTTGATGGACATCCCGCAGTTGACGTCTGTGAAGGAGATGCACTCGTTCTCCGTCGTGACGCCGTTCTACAGTGAAAGTGTGTTGATCTCATTGTCGGAGCTGAACGATCCGCTGGCCAACCACCCGGTCTTCCAGAAGGTGGAGGAGAAGGGCAAGAACATTACTATTCTGAAGTATCTGATTACCATCCACCCCGAGGAGTGGGAGAACTTTTTGGAACGTATTGATGTGAGCACTGCAGAGGAAGCACAAGCCAACTACCCGCTGGAAATCCGTCTGTGGGCGTCGTACCGTGGTCAAACCCTGGCACGTACTGTTCAAGGTATGATGCTGTACGAGGATGCTATCAAGATTCTTCACTGGCTTGAGATTGGTTCAAGTCCCGGCAAGTCGGCGGAGCAGAAGCAGGCTCAACTTGAGGACATGGTGCGTCTGAAGTTCTCGTACATTTGTGCGTGTCAGGTGTACGGTAAGCATCGCGCAGAGGGCAAGGCCCAGGCCGATGATATCGACTATCTGCTCAAGACGTACCCGAACCTGCGTGTTGCCTACGTCGACACCATCGTGATGGACGGTGGCAAGCAGTTCGACACGGTGTTGATCAAGAGTGAAGGCAATGAAATTGCCGAAGTTTACCGCTACGAGCTGCCTGGAGACCCGATTCTTGGTGAAGGTAAGCCCGAGAACCAGAACAACGCGCTTCCATTCACGCGTGGCGAATACCTCCAGACGATTGATATGAACCAGCAGCACTACTTCGAGGAGTGTCTGAAGATGCCGCAGCTTCTGGTGACTGCTGACCTGCACCCTTCCAAGAAACCTGTGTCCATTATTGGTATGCGTGAGCACATTTTCACGGGTAACGCTTCATCGCTGTCAAAGTTTAAGTCGTGGCAGGAGCTGGTGTTCGTGACGCTGTCTCAGCGTGTGCTGGCCGACCCGCTGTATGTTCGTATGCACTACGGTCACCCCGATATTTTCGACAAGATCATTGCTATGCCTCGTGGTGGAGTGTCCAAGGCTTCCAAGGGCATTAACTTGTCTGAGGATGTGTTCGCTGGTTTTAACTCGACGCTTCGTGGTGGTGTGGTGACGCACGTGGAGTTCATGCAGTGTGGTAAGGGTCGTGATGTGGCTCTGTCGCAGATTTCCATGTTCGAGGGTAAGCTGGCTAACGGTGCTGGCGAGACGTCTCTCGCTCGTGAGGCTCATCGTATGGGCCAGTTCATGGACTTCTTCCGTCTGAACTCCATGTACTACTCGCACACGGGTTTCTACTTCGCCACGTGGATGACAATTGTCACGACCTTCGTGTACATGTACTGCAAGGTGTACTTGGCTCTAGCGGGTGTGCAGCAGCAGATTGTGTACGATATGAACACGACCGCTGTGATCACCGAGAACATCGCAAACAACTTCGACGGGCGTGTGTTCACCGATCTGAAGGCTGTGCTGAACACGCAGTTCTACATCCAAGCCGGTACTTTCCTCATGCTTCCGCTCATGTGTGTGTACTTCGGTGAAGGAGGCTTCGTGCGCGGTATGACTCGATTCATCGACATGATCATCACGCTGGGCCCTGCCTTCTTCGTGTTCCAGGTCGGTACGACGATGCACTACTTCGACAACAACATCGTGCACGGTGGCGCCAAGTATCAGGCTACAGGTCGTGGCTTCAAGATTTCCCGTGAGACGCTGGTGCTGCTGTACAAGGCGTATGCAAGCTCCCACTATCGAAAGGCCTGGGAGCTCATCGGGTTGTGTCTTGTGTACATGGCGTTCGGTAATTTTTACATCTGTCGGACCGATGCGGCTGCCAACGACAACACTTTTGCGTCCGACTACTGTGAGACTGCTCAGGCTTACGGGGTGCAGACGTTCTCGGTGTGGTTCATCTCCATCTTGTGGGTGGTGGGTCCGTTCCTCTTCAACAGTGACGGTCTGGACTACAGGAAAACCAAGGTGGATATCCAGCAGTGGTGCATGTGGATGTTTGCCCCCGAAGACTACAAGGACGACGACCCGGCCAACAAGGGAGGCTGGGTAGGCTGGTGGAAGGGCGATCTGGAGCAGCTGCACGGCTCCAACATGATCTCGCGCGTCACGGTCATCCTCCGCGAGTGTCGCCACTTCCTGCTCATGTTCTACGTGGCTACACTCGAGACGTCCGACGTCATGTACGTGGCGTACTCGTTCGGTGCTGCGGTCGCGACGATTGTTCTGCTTGGCGTGTTCCATGGCTTTGGTATGGGCATGCGCTCCATGAGCCCGGTGACGCGCGCTGTGATCTACATGGGGACCGTCGCAGCCATCGTGACGGCCTACTTCTTGGCCACTTGGATCGTGCTGGACTGGAAATTCAAGTACGCCATGTCGCTCTGGTTCGCCTACGTGGCTGCGCTCTACGGTATCAACGAGTGCTTCCGCATGTGGAGTTTCCCAAGCTCGTCGATCGCTGGCATTGCTGTGTTCCAGCAGCTACAGTTCCTCTTCGACTTTATCTTCTGCATTGGTATGATCATCCCGCTTGTGGTCATGTCGTGCATCCCGTTCCTGAACATCATCCAGACGCGTATGATGTACAACGAAGGCTTCTCCAAGGTCATGTCTGCTTCTTCGCAGTATGCCTTCTCTCTGGCAGCCTTCATGGGAATCCTGGGCGGTATCGGTGTCGGCTGGCTGTTCAACTTGCTGTCAACGCTGGAGCAGTCTGCGAGTTTCGCAAGTTACGTCGTCACGTACGATGGCGTCCTAAGTGGAAACGTGGGCGATGGCACCACGACGTACATGCTCTACGGTGCCTGTGTGGTGGGTACGATCATCGCTGGCTTCCTCAACTTCTTCCTGGGTCGTCGTCTGGCTATTGTTGCGGGTGGTCTCTTCAGTACGCTCGGTATGGTGGCTGTCAGTGCCAACGACGATCTCCGTTCGACGCTGCTGATGCCTGGTATCGGTCTGCTTGGAGCCTCGTGCGGTATTCTGCTACCGTCGTTGGCCATCTACATCTTCGAGATCTCGACCAAGGAGATGCGAGGCAAAGCCATGTTGTTGCTGGGAATCGGCTTCATCATCGGCAGTTTGCTGGGCGGCATTTTCGCGACCGTGAACCAGCTGGGATGGATCTGGCAGACGTTTGCTGCCTGCATCGTGATCGCCCTGGTCACGCCAGTCGTCAATGTGTTCCCAGAGAGTCCGTACTGGGTGCTGGATCGCAAGGGCTGGGACGCCTGTGAAGCCTGTCTCGTTATCCTGCGTCGTAAACCTGATGTCCAAGAGGAGCTCAAGGTCATGCGAGAAGAGGAAACGGCAGATGAAGGCGGCGCCGGCGCCTACAAGTTCCTCATCGGTCTCTTCCTCATGCTCGTGTCCTCTCTGACTACTGGTTTCCTCAACGCCTTCATCAGCTACAAGGGAGCGAGCGAGTACACGGACCAAGACCAGCTGTTCGTGAACGCGATGGCGCTGCAGATCTCCGGTGCTGCGATCGCCATCTTCTACATCGACAAGCTGGACCACAAGTCGATTCTCTTCGGAACGTTGATCCCTATCGCTATCTGTGCTGGCATTCTGGGCTTCAACGAGAACTCAGAGATGCTGGGAGACAAAGAGGGCTCGGGTCTGTACCTCAGTCTTGTAGTCATGCTCATGTACTTCTTCATGGGGCTGGGCACGAGCTCTGCTCTGTGGTCCGCATGCGTCGGCATGTTCAATACTCGCGGCCGCGCCTCGTCCACCACCATGCTGTTCGCTATCTTCTTCCTGGCGGATATGGGCTACGTCTACTTGCACACGGACGACTCGATGATGCAGAACGAATATTCCTATCTCTACGCCATCGCAGGCTTCAGTGTCGTCGCCCTGGTGCTGTTAATGGGCGCAGGCACCAAGAAGAACGGCGTCATCTGTACCAAGTCAGAAGCTCAGCGCGATCGCGACCGTATCGCTCGTATGCGTGCCGAACGTGCAAGTCGCAACACGCGGACGCCTGGAACTGCGCGCCAGCGGAATCTCAGTCGCGTGCGGTCCAAGTCGAACGCTGGCGGCCAGCGGGGCAACGCGGCGCATGGCGGTGGCTACCAAATGTACGAAACACCCGCCAACGCTGCGCCGCCGCTCATGCACGCGCGCCCGTAGAAAGACTGCGTGTCTTGAAATTGCTCATAGTGTCCAGGAGCCTACGGGTGTTTTTGTACATACTTTTTGCCCTCAATACCGACTTTCGTAAAGTTTTACATTGTTTTTACTCATTACTTTGACTGTGCCATGACGTCTCCGTTGATCTGATCTGCTGTCGGGACAGCAATGTTGAAGCCATCTCTCGACCTTGAAATGATGCCTCGAATCCATCACTACGAATCCGCTCGACCGCTGGACCTCTGAAGTCAGCGGCCGTGGATCGAGCTGGAACGTCCGGTGGTGGTTGAAAGTAGCGCTTGGTGAACTCGACTTGCTCCCGATGGCAGTCGACTGTAATGCCACCTTTCAGTAGTAGCTCCTCCACCACAGCTGGAGGTCGCGTTGTTTCATTGTTGTCGACCGCTTCATCAGTCTCAAATTCGCTGAAGCAGAAGCTCGGACGGATCTGGCTCGCGTCCAAGACTCCGACACTTAACCAGCAGCCGCGTTCTTCCATTGCAGTAACAGCAGGTTGCGAGTCGGAGCTTTTAATGAAGAAATCGGCTATGATTGCAAATTCAGGCTCGCGCGGAAGCAGATCTGTCATTCCAACGCGCACATGGGGCGGCAGGGCGCATACGACCACGGTCTGTCACTTCCGAGGAACACCCGCTTCTTCTTGACTTGACACTTGGAACAAATCGGCATGCCACATACTCGACAGCTACGAAGTTGCCCGGTAAACAACCCGCTTCCGTCGCGCCTAATACACACGACACAGATGGCTCCCTTGGGTGGAGGTGGTAGCTGAGTCGACGTCTGTCCTACGTCAACTCTCAAAGCTGTACGTCGAGCTAACAGTGTGAGTTTCTTGGCGTCTGCACAATCCACGAGCTTTCGCAGCCCATCGATGAACACCGACATCATATTAGAAGACAACATGGGGAGCAGCTTCCGTTCGCCCGACATGTCGAAGATACCACGCGCGAGAATGTCCACGAAACCAGGTGTAGACTCGCGGAAGATGCACGTGAAGAAGGCTTCGCCTCGAGCGACGAACGACTGGCTGAATGGAGGACACTCTGGCAAGTCCACCGAGTGTAGCACAAGGTAGCCATACCGCTTGCCACATGTGTCCGTCTCAGCGCCCATCGCCTGAAGACAACAAATTTCTCTCGGCGTTAAGCACCGTACAGCCACTTGAGACCGAAGTATTGCAGAGGATCCTCAAGAGTTGCCAGCTCAAAGGTTTGTAGAACTGCAGCATCTGATCGCTTCAACAAGAACGATAACGTGATGCACGTCTCTTCGTCCGTCGCACCGGCAAATCCGTACAGCGTCTCTTCGATGCTGTTAGGAAGATGCTTCCAGTTGCCACCACACTAGGTTGTCCAGTAGCGATAGCCTCTACAGCTTGAGGGAAATCCTCCTCTGCTGCGAGTTCAGCTATCGATCGTCCTCTCTGCCGACGTCGGAAGAGCTGTAGGCCCTCGAACGACCGGATTCAGACTTGACAAACCGTTGGCGAGTCTCTCGTTGCAGCATTTCTCATCCGACAGAGCTGCTTGCAATAGCTGACGCACCAGGTTGAGGGACTCCCTGAGCGTCGGCGAAATATCCCGTGGGCAATGGAAACGCCACCTTCGGTTCGCTCACCGAGATCCGCGTACCCGAAAACGATTCCTTCATTGCTGCACAACTTCCAATCGAGCCGCAAAACGGAGACTGGTGAATGCACTTGCAAAGTGTACCAGCCACCAACGAAACGTAGCGACGATGGACATTGTCGTCGTGTAGGGTAGTGAGCTTTGGTTGTAGAGAAGACAAGTATGACATTTCTTTTGCGCCGATATCCACGAATATCCCACTGACCCATTGACTCGAAGAGCCCCCAGTTCCTATACTGTACGTGCGTTCGAAGTCAATGACGGCCGTTGATTGCCACCGCTAACCTTGTTAATACTAATTCTTGTCAATGAAAGCCTCCGAGGTGTCTAGTTTTATGCCTTGCTATATTCAAATTTTGGGTCCGCGCTGGAAGACACTGGGCTATAGAAAACAAAATACCCTTCAGCATCGTCGGAGGTCGAGGTGAGGCGATACTTGTCCGTGTTGTCGTCGTCGCTCAGCTCCATGATGCTGTCGTTAGTGGAGTTCTCAACACTCGCGGAGCTCTCGTCGAATGACAAGGTCATCGTCCGGTTTAGAGACGAATTGAGCTCTGTCACGAGTCAAAATAGGACCTGGTCGATGCCTTTTCCAGTCATCAAAAGCTACATCGCAGCTCTTGAGAGCCGCCGGCCATTCGAACGCAGAACTTAGAAGTGTCGTGTCTTCAGACAGAGACTCGACCGACAGCAGTGACCCCATGAAGTAGTCAGCTACGACCGCGTACTCGGGCTCGATTGGTCGCATCCCCGTCATCTGTCGCGCCTCCTGCGCGCAGTTTGGACAGCAAACACAAGCCGAATGCGGTCTTAAGTTGCCTAGAAACACGCGCTTGCCTTTCACGCAGCAACTGAAGTAGACAGCGATGCCACAGATCCGACACCAACGGAGTCGAAGACATGAGAACATGCCCGTTCTAACGCGCCTAATACACACGGAGCACAAGCCGTGACTTGGATTCTCCTCGTCCACATTCAGCGCATCGCGATTCTTGCCGGAGATAGCATTGTAGCGTGCAAGTAGCGTCATTTTTTTGGCTTCAGCACAACGCACAGCTTTACTAAGGCTTCCGACGAACGCGGTGGTGGCGTACGGCATGAGAGACGCGTACGGCATCGACAGTCTCCGTAGCTCTCCGCAAGTGTCGAACACGCCTCGCAGCACCACGTCAACGACCCCGGGCGCGGCGTCTCGGAATATACACGAGAAGAATAGCCTGCCACGCACAACGTTCGCCTCCAACGGCGGGCATTCGGGCAACTCAACCGAGTGCAGCACCAGGTAGCCGTACATCTCGTCATTGGCGTCTTTCTGCACCCCCATGGCTTCTAGAAAGCAGACATCCCGCGGCTCGATAAATGGAGCGGACGAGCTGTAGAGCCACTTGAGGCCGAAGAAATGCAGCGGGTCGTCCGCGGTTGCCAACTCGAAAACGCGCAGAACCGCGGAATCCGTGTCGACATCCAGGAAGGACGTCGTGGTGCGCATCTCCTCGTAGTTCGTGTCGGCTAACCCGTAGAGCAGATTCTCTACCGTGCCGGCAATATTTCCCGTCGCTACGATACTTGGCTGGCCGTTCGCTACCGCTTGTCTGGCCTCGGGGATGTCCTCGTGCTTTGCGATTTCCTCAAGTGACCGTCCTCGCCGTCTACGTCTGTAGATTTTTATATCCTCGAGCGACCGCACGTACTTCCAGTCTGCGGGTGGCAGGCACGGCAATTTATTGGCTTTGCGCTCATTGTAGTGCTGCTCGTCGTCCAGCAGCTCGTTGAGTCTGCGCTGCACCACATCGCGATACTCAAGCTTCTGCGCAGCCGTGACCTCGATGTGACCGAAGTAGTTTTTTGGCAGCGGGAAACGCAGCTTGGACGACATTGGAAGTAAGTTGCCAAGTGATCAGCAAAAAGATCCAGCCATGCCGGCGCGAAAGACTTGAGCCCAATGCATGTCTTTCCTCACGACGAGAGCACGCTACGTCAGACGAGAGCCACACGTTGGCAGTGGAGACCTCTTAACAAGAAACCCATGATCTGACGTAGCGGTGTCAGCAACGCGACGGCTATGGACATCACTTGACAGCCTGTCAAGCCTACCGGCACAGGGTCAAGCTGAAAATGTATTCAGAAACACCGCCCGTGGCCAAGACCCAAGCAGCCCACATTGAAGATGACGGCCAGGTTGCGCTTCAAGAGGTGATCAGGACGAATGGCGACAGTCATTAATGCTTGGATGAGGAACGCGACCGCGAGGCGGGACGGGCAGTTCGACGGCAGCATGGATCAAATCAAAACGACCCGCTGTTCGCGAGCATGAAGATCAAGGCGTCACACAGTGATGGTGTTACTATACAGTAGACTGGCTTATATATCTACCCGACGAGACTGCAGTCGCTGCATCTCGCGCATGACCGAGTCGTTTTGCTGTACCTGACTACCGATAGAAACCGCACGCTTGAGCATTACAGCGAGGGCATCCGATGCGGATTTCCCCTCCACTTCGATCTCCTCGTCGTATGGAGGTTCGCGCCATTGCTCGACTGCTTCAACATCAAGAGCGTAGTCGTCGTCCTCTTCGGCGCTGGAGCTGAACCCGTTGATGTCGCTTAACGTGGACGCATAGCGGTCCATGAAGTCACGGCCGACCCAGCTCTCGTCCAGTGTAGCGTCCGTGGGGCGATCTCCATCGGGCGGTGAACCCTCTCGGACCACATCCGGCGCGGACGCGGTTTCTGTCTTGTCGTCGCGCCACCAGTCGCTCTCGTCGATCTCGGACGCGCTAAGAGATGCCATGTGCTGCTGTTGAGCGACAGCAGCATCCAACGCACCCGAGTACGACGCGAGCGCTGGCCCGTGGAGATAGAAGTCCGCGACGACGGCGTATTCATCGTCGCAAGGCCGCATTCCCGTCATCTGTTGCGCTTCGAGCACGCAGTTCGGGCAACAGACAGCAAACGCACACGGACGCTCTGAGCCCAGAAACAATCGCTTATTCTTGGCCGAACACTTGGTACAGATCGCCACGCCACACACGCGGCAAGCGCGCAGACGCGTAGAAGCAAACAGCCGCTTACTACGCTTAATGCAGACGGAGCACACGGCGTCCTTCGCGAAGGCTTCGTCCTGGTACACTGCGTCCAGATTGTAGCCGGACACGGCGTTGTGGCGGGACAAGAGTGTCAATTTCTTGGCTTCGGCACAGTCCACTCCTTTGAGAATGCCGTTAATGAACGACACGGACGCAAGCGGCACAACGTGTCTAGACAGGTCTCCAGACAGGTCGAAGATGCCGCGTACCTGGATATCTACGAAGCCCGGCGTGGTCTCTCGGAACAACCCAGCGAAGGTTACATCTCCGCGGATGACATCGCTCCTCCTGCGGTCAAACGGTGGGCACTGTAGGATCTACGGATCGCAATACCATGTACCCGAAGCGCTGTTTGCTGGCGTCTTCTTCCACCCCCATCGCCTCAAAGTAACAGGCGTCACGGGGTGTTGTAAGCGCTTGCATCGGCATCTTCTTTAGCATCCACTTGAGGCCTAGGAAGTGCAACGGGTCGTCGGGTGCATCTAGTTCCAGAACACGTAGCAACGCACAGTCGGTAGGTTCGTGTGTGTAGGTAATCGTCGTCTGCGTTTCCTCTTGCGTCGTACTAAAGTTGCCATACAGCAAGTCATCAATCGTACCGGGTACTCTTCCCAGCGCGATAACACTGTCCGGTAGGTTCACTGCGGTTTTCTGCGCTCGTCTTCGTCGTCTGTACATTTTCACTTCATCTTGAGACCGGACGAGCTTCCAAGTTGTCGGATCCAGCCGCGGTTGGTGGTTTGCTTTGCGCAAAGCGTAGGATTCTTCATCGACAAGTAAGCCGCTGATCCTCTGACGTACTAACGATCGGAATTCTTCGGCCTGCTCGATAGAAACGCTCACCAGTCCGAAATGATCTTTCGGAAGTGGGAATTTGACGCTGGAAACGGAGGAAGCTCCGGAATTCGAGTGACATGATTGCATGATGGTAGAGATATGGCGAAGGCTCGAGCTGGAGCTTGGAGTTGTTGGCTGCATGCACTGGTGACTTGACCACGTAGAATTTGAGGACGGTCTCCGATCGCAGATTTCCGGGATAGCTTTCGATGTTTTATGCAGAAGGAAGTTGGCGAATGTCAGTGACCGCTTGCCTAGAAAGGATGGGTAAGCAGCGCTGACAAGTGTCTGGTACGAGAGATCGGCAAGAGAGACCGCCAGGTAGTGACGAGGTTTGACAATTCCAGTTGGCGGTGCTTGGTAAAGTGGGATATTGAGCTGTTAAAAAATATTAATTACACCTCTCGAAGAGGTTATTTGTCCTAATGGTTCCTGTTTAAAACGCTATTCTGAAAAGAGCCTCACTTACAAAAAACACTGTGATATTTGATAGCCAGTAAAGCTTGTATGTTTAATAAAATAGTTTAATGCGGCCGGAAAAATAGAAACGCAACGCCGTTTGTTTGGCTTCATCACACTCCTGAGGTTGACCCTCCCAGCTGCTGCTCAGACCGAGCCGGGAGCACGCAAGACGAGGCCAAAAGTGTGCTTCAAAGCTAATTTACTGCTATTAATACATACTGCCTCGCAAGTTTTCTATTAATAGTCTGCATGCGCTGTATTTTTTAATTTTTCCTCACCACCACGAATGTACCGGTTTCAGTTTCAGAAGTCTTCAGTTTTTTCCGGCATTTACAAAGCTCACCAATCTGAGCTCAGCCCCCCCCCCCTGAGACATCCCCCGAGACATGGTACCAGACTTCTGGAACAATTGATCTCGAATTCCAGGTGTGAATAGCCACATTTCCTAATGTCCTTAAAACACCTCAGTATGAGCTCCTCAGTATACACAGCGCTTTCGCGTCGGTGTGATCGCCAGCAGGACTCGTGGGCAGCTTCTACGGACATTACTCGCTGCCCGTGGTGGAGCACCCGTCTGTATATCAGTCAGGCCGTATGGTCGAATCTCGGGAGAAGCCGGCGGAGCGCCCAATTAAGGAGCGCCCAAACATAAATGGAGCACCATATGCAGATTGCAAGATGTGCTTCAAGATCTTATTACTTCTTCAGAGGATATTTTTAAAAGAAGAATTTTACTTAATCTACAAATGCATAAAGTCTCCTTCCATCGGCTTGTTCAGAATAATATATTCAACACCAACCACATCACACGCTAGACACAGATGCCGCAAGGCTACAATATCGACCCGCCCCCTGAAGCTGTCCACCCCTCCGAAGCTGCAGCCGAAGCTGCAATTCATCAGTGGACGTTGGCGAGGCGCTATGATGTAACGAAACAAAAGGTAGAGAAAAATCAAAATGGCAAAATTCGAAGTCGACTATTCGCATGCGACCGAAGCGGGAAACCAAAAAACACTCGCCATCTAGAAGAGGCAAATCGCGTTCGAACTATGCATGGGTCAAAACGAATGGGGTGCCCCATGCGAATCAAGATCGTCGCTGTCGATAAAGAGAATACTGAAGGGGCGTGGAAAATCGTTTACCCTCGAGACGGTAGCCGCATCCACAACCACCCAGCTTCGTTGGATGTCCGTGTTCACTCTGGTCACCGGCGCCGCAGTGCTCAACAGAATACGACTGCTCAACTTTCAACTGTGAATGATTTGATTTTTTTTTCAAACTGCTGCAGGCGTTCCTGTGTCCAAAGTATACGCTACCCTACTGCTATCCGACAAAACCTCTCTTGTAATTCCGAAGGACATTGCAAACACTAAAGACACAAGGCGCAGAGACATGCTAGCAACAGACACAGCAATTGAAGCTCTTTTCCTCAAACTTACCGAGCATGGATTCTACTACAAGTACGAGGTGGACCCTGAGTCACGACGCTTAAAATACCTGCTGTGGGCCCACCCTGACACTATAAACTTGGCACGACATTACATGGGTGTCGTTGTTATGGACTGTACATACAAGACAAACAAACACAACTGGCCTCTGTGCAACATAATTATTCTCACTGGGTTGAACAAAGTTCTCCCTCTTGCTCAGTGCTAGCTACCAGGCGAAGCCGAGGCCGACTACACGTGGGTTTTCAACCAACTAAAGCTTCTTCTGTTAGCAAATAGCGTGCAATTGCCTCGAATTGTCCTCCCATTTCTCGTAACAGACCGAGACCTTGCGTGTATGAATGCAAGCGACGCAGTATATCCTGAGATCCCTAAAATTCTGTGTCGCTGGCACGTCAACCGAAGGGTTCTGGCGCGCGTGCAAGACGACCTCGGAATTATACGTTTATCTAGACCGGGACCGAACGGTGAAATGAAACATAATTCAGTGGAGACGGATGTATTCATGGCTAAGTATTATGAGGCAGCTGCGTCCGAGTCGGTGTCTAAATTCGAAGAGCATTGTGCGGTTTTACGAGGCCTTAGCAGTTCTACCGCTGAATATCTAGAACGGACTTGGTGGAAATATAAAACCAGGATAATCAAATGCTGGACGGATCGACATGTTCATTTCGGCTGTCACGACACGTCCACCGTTGAAGGCACTCATGCGAAGATAAAACGGTGGCTGGAGACCTCGAAAGGAGATTTATTGACCGTTTTCGTGAAGCTTCTTCCCTGGTGGAACGCTTCCGCTAAAACTATCACATTTCAGTCCGCACAAGATGCCACAATCGTTCCTCACAGACTTCGGTGGGACCAGTACTCTGCTGTTGTTCGGGTGATATCTACGTACGCACTCATGGAGACTGACAAACTCTGGAGAACCGCTCGTAACTTGGTCACTTCTGGTAGCGAAATATCATCATGTTCAGGGGTATTCAGACTCACTCATGGAAGACCATGTCTTCATGAACTGGTTGCAATTTATTCATCCAATGGTCAGCAGAAGATCTTGCCGGAACACTTCGACAAACACTGGTGGATATAGTCAAATGATGACAGACTGAACGACCGTATTCTGGAGCCTTCCAACTTGCAAACCAGGCGCAAAACACCCAACTCGATCAGCCAACACAAGGCGGGGCATGGCGCAAACAGTACGCGACGAGAAGCGATCTGGTTTGAGCGACATGACCGAATGATCCAATCTGATACACCTGCGTTCTCTTTTCAGGCGCTTTTAGCAGAAGACGACAGCATTAGTGCGGATATCGCGTTTTTGCCTCCGCGCAGTTGGGGTTACGCAGGCTTGAATTAATAGTTTGGCAAATCAGTAAAAAAACAAATAAAAAATAATAAAAACATAATACCACCGGGAGGAATCGAACCCCCTTCATCCCTTTCGGGTGCTTTTCCATTAAGCTACGGTGGTGCGCTGGAAAGATAAAAGTAGCATGATGGTAGTTAGCAGATTAATTGATACACGAATTGTATAGAACAGCTTACCTTTAATTGTCTGACGGGGAATTAACGGCATGCCGCGACAACCCTCTTAGGACATTAGCCCCCGCTCAATTTGCCCTTCGGCAGTCAATCAGACAATGGGCGCGATACCTTGTTCTCAACTCTATCTCAACAATATTCGTGAAAAGATTCTTCCTTATCAAGATCAATCTTTTCAAGAATATTTCAGCCTGATTGATGAAGATCGACTTTAATTGACCATGATTGCCTCTACGTCAAGGTACAAAGTGCATATGGTGCTCCATTAATGTTTGGGCGCTCCTTAGTTGGGCGCTCCTTAGTTTCTCCCTCGAATCTCACTATGCTTACATGTAACTTAGGCGTATTTTCTTGCCTTAGAATCTGCTACATGTAGTAATAATGCAGGAGGAAGTGCATGTCGCTGCCCTTCGTGACGAAGTTTTTCCCTTGTTGCTGTCAGCTTGCCGCGTTGCGGTTCTGACCTGCATCCGCACATGTTTTGACTGGCAAATTGACAAGCATGACGCCGTTGACAGCTGATTCAACCTGCTGCTCCCACATCCAGATGTGCTCGAGTGCGAGCACACAACAATCATTGCTAACCCCAAAGTGCAGCTCGCTAAGCTTCATGTATTTTATCTGTAATACTTCCAGTAACAGTAGCCACGCAAAAGCAGTTCAAAAACAGACTTATCCGTACCGGTACCGGCTTACAAGTACTTCAGTACAGAAAACGATGAAAGAATTGACTCATACTAGTAGTAATACCGTTCCAGGTTGCACAACAAACCTCCGAACGGGAGCAAGATGTGCACTCGTGTGGTCGACGAAGGGGATGCGAGTCTCGCCACAGCCCTCGTGTCTGGCGTAACGCTGTTGCCCGACCTCTTGCCGTCACTGCTGGCAGCCAGGAACGGACACGTTTGGATACAGCAATCTCCACCTTACCAAGCTTGTCGCTTTGGCAGCTTAACTAACGCCCTCTGGTCCATCCACCAGACGATCCAAATCCTCTCGGCAGTAGCAGCAGGGCAGCAATGTCCGCGCCATGGTCATTACGAGGCACATCTCGAAAGCTCAAGGCTCTATTATCTGTCTTACCTGAAGTACGTCAACGCACTTATCAACGCGAGTGGAAGCGCATAGAGTCATAAAGGATGGCAGAACCTGTACGACGAGCGACAGCACCTGTACCTCCAACTGAGGAGGATGCAGCCATTCAGTCTTTTCCTAGACGCGCGACGGCTCCGGAGGACTCGGACTCGCGTCGCAACCGGCACCGGTACACTCTCTTGGAAGCCAAGGCGACGTCCATGCCGTCTCTAGCTCGAGACACCCCGTCCGTGTCGTCGTCCAACGCTGCATTGGAGCCGGGCAACGTCGAGGGGTTCCGTCACTTAGCTCACAGTATCGTGTCGCGGACGTTGGCTGTCGAATGCGAGTTCGACCGCATGGGACGCCCCGAACAGGATGAGCACGCGTGGAAGATGCTCAAGAAGCAGAACCGCCTACGGGTCTACAAACGTAAGGCACAGCAAACAGCTCAACTGGATCAGAGTCGAGTCGGAGGTTCGTCCAAGAAACCTCCGATGGTGATCTGTGTCGGCTCCGTTGAGGGCACCGTGGAAGATATTCTGTACGGGATACACGCTAAGACTCGCAGTGAGATGGGTGCGACTATGACCTTCATGAGGAGAAGCCCGCTCGACTGCGACGTGCTTGCCGTACTGGACGGCGGCTCGAAGCGTGACCCGTTCCGTCATCTTTCCATCAAGTACCTCCTAGCTGAGACTTTCGGAGACGCGCGGGTAGTAAACAATCGCGACGTCTGCACGCTCGAGTCCATGGGCTTTGGACACGACTCGAGAGGAAAACGCTACGGCTACTATCTTCTCCGAAGCGTTGATATCCCAGAATGCTCGCCGTTACCTGAAGATAGTGGCGTGGTCCGAGCTAGTGTCACTATGTGCTGCATCTATCGCCAAGCTCAAGGTTCCGTGAAGGTCTATAGCAAGGCGATGATTGACCTTGGAGGGTCTTTGCCTGGCTTCATGGCCTACGACGCAGCCACCGAGCTGCTGCTCTCTAACGCTGAGGCGATAACCAGTGCCACTGCCAAGCGCCTGACTGTATTAGCGCGCCAAAACTACCACACCAGAAAGGCCCAAGAACCGGAAGATCTGACCTCGTCCTCCGAGTCGGAGCTGCTGTTGAGTGGCTCTCGCTATGCCAAATCGTTCAACTTTCGTAGTACAAAGTCCGTCTCATCGATGGCGCCAACCCACACGGATGAGGAGCGGAAGATGCCGATCAAACCCTGCAGCGTATGCGGCAAGAAGCCCAAGATGGCCAAGCTCGTTCGCTCCACACATCGCAATTGCGGTGTATGCAACCAATGCGTCTGCACCAAGTGCAGTATCAAGCAGAAATTGTACGCACGCGCGGAACCAGTCGCCGTTTCTTGCTGTAAAGTCTGCATCCTCGCAGCCAAGCAGCTGATAGTGGACCCACGCGATGCATTCCCGATGATCCCATGAATATTTGTGCTTCGATGTTATCAATACTACAGTAGTATAAGTCATGTGAAACCTGTTGATAAAAATTAATGTGCTTCAGTGTGCAACCATGTGTGAGATGGATATCCTGTGTCGTCCAACTGAAAAGTCTCGCGTACTTTGGATGTTAGCCCTAGATGCTGTGGCCAGGGAACCCGATAAATATATTTATTGCCAATTACTGTTTATTGCTTTTCTCAATAATTTATTTACGAAAAATGAAATATGTATTTACGAAGTTGGTGTACGACGACCCAGCATTTATTTTCCCGGACAACAACTACCAACAGTTTGTGGTTGGTTTGGAGCCCCTCGACTTCTCCGAATCGCATATTCTAGCTCATTCTGCAACTTCAGGAACACCCCAACAAAACCTACTATCTTCTTTCACCACCGTGGATGCTTGCATTTAGGCGGCTTCACACAGGCTTGGTAGTTTATTTCACTAATAATTTACGTTTGCAATGTTCCCGCTCCAATTATTTATTTGCTGAGTTCTTAGGTTGCCGCGCGTTATGTATTTCTCGATGTCATTAGAAATTGATATAAATTATATTTTCGGGTTCCCTGCCTGTGGCTGCCAGCAAGTTGTCAAATAAGCATGGCTAACAGAAAACCGGCCGCTGGAAAAATGCAGCCATAGATTTGGTGTTGGTGTCCCTTTACTTGCACTATTCAAGAAGTGGAGACTCTGCCGAACAGCTCCAGCTGGTAGACGACATAGGAGGGATCCGTAATCCAGACAATAGAAAAGATCCCTTCAAATGCATTTCGATTGGAATCACATGTGACGATCATGTGGACGCAACCAGTGGGCAATGGACGGTCCTGCTGCTCAAGGCGAAAGTGAGGCAATGGGGCGACTAGACTAGCGACTCCGGCTCTGGCCAATTTGGTGGAGATGGCAGCTTTCCCGCCTCACTGTTCATTTATCTCTCCCTCCCATCAACTTCTCCACCATGGCAGCGCCCACACACGCTAGACGAGCAACCACACTACCCGACGATGGAACCCCCATGGATTCCAGACCAAACCACGTCGATCGTCGTCCAACAGTGCCAGAAGAACACGATTACGACTCGACAGTTCCTCAACCGAAGACAATGTCGACACCCAAGCTGTATCTGATAGAAGGGGAGGCTCAAGCGTTTCGACACTTGGCTCACAGTATCGTCTCCAGAACACTAGCACACGAGTGTGAGTTCCGTCAACTTGGATGTCCAGAACCGAACAGTAAGGAGTGGAAGCTGCTCAAACGACAGGACGACTTGAGTGTCTACAAGCAGCGAGGCAGCAGCGACTCCAAGACGTACACGGTCAAGTGTGTGGGCTCACTGGAAGGCACGTTAGAAGACATTCTCTACGGCACACACTCGAAGAATCGCGACGAAATGCACGCGACCGCAGCGTATTTACACAGCAGCCACATGGACTGCGCCGTGCTCAATGTTCTCGACAGTGGGACGGACGAAGACCCGTATCGACAACTTGCACTCAAGTGGTTCATTGCTGAGACCTTCGGGGATGCGCGGTTAGTGAAGCATCGGGACTGGTTTAACATCGAGTCAACCGGTATGGGCACCGACACCTGGGGTCGTCGCTTCGGCTACTTCCTTGCCAAGTTTGTTGATCACCCTGGATGTCCGCCGATGCCTGAGGATAGTGACGTGATCCGTGGGAAGATGGCCATGTGCTGCATTTACCGTCAAGAACCGGGATCCAAGATCGTCGATGTGTACGCCAAGGGGTCGATCGATCTAGGTGGAGGGATGCCAGCTTTCATCACCAGCAGTGCGTCGTGTGCTATGATGTTCAATATGGCTGTGTCCATGGAAAGCGCCGAATCCAAGCGTCTTACTAAACTTGCGCTTCAACACGCTCAAAGGGAGGCTAAGGAGAAGGAGAGAAAGGCTGAAGCTGAGGAGGAAGATGCGATAGAAAGGTCGCAGAAGCTCACGACGGAATCGGTTATCGACTTGCTGGCAGCGTCCGTGATCTCCTCGTCGACTACTTCATCGAATGAGGGAAAGATGAAGGCGTCGAAAGCCACTAGGGTGCCTTGCCATGTCTGCGGTAAGAAGCCTGTCATGTCCAAATTTGTCCGATCATCGCATCGCAAATGCGGTATCTGCAAGGAACGAGCGTGCAGCAAGTGCAACATCAAGCGGAAACTGTTTGGCCGAGCGGGTCCAGTGACGGTGTCGTGCTGTAAAGTCTGCATCCTCGAGTCGAAGCGCCTGAGCATAGATCCACGTGAACCTTGTCCAATTCTTCCTTAACATTGTTGTATCATACTACTACAGTAGTAATAGAGTCTTAAACCACGTTCTGTAGTCACGATGTTGCGTCGCTGGATCGGGTATCGAGCCCCATTTTTCTTATCCCAATACCGACATTTAGAAAAAATTGCGTTTAGTATACGGTACTGAAAAATTATATTTTTGCTTACCTCCATATTTGCCAGAAAATCCCTATATTTTCGGGTGTGCCCCGTTTTTTATTGCCTAAACTCACCCCTGCTTAGTAAATTATGTGTTTTGTCCGTTGTTGTCGCTGACCAGTGAATTCCATACACCGTTCACGCTAGCTAGTCATACCCTGACTAATTGTGGTGTACAGATCGAAGCCCCATGGGCCTGGTCGGGGAACGATCGTTTCGGTTTTTGATCGTCTTTGTCAATTTGACGATTTTTTCCCACGCATTTGATTGGTCAGTTGAAAGCCTGGCCGTCTCAGCTTGTCGTTTCCAAATCGCCCAAAGTGAAACGAGTTAATCACCAGTTTTTCTTTGAAAACGAGCGTTTCACGGACACTTACTCAAAACAGTGACATCGTGGATGGGCCACAGTCGACACATAACTGCTGCAGTGGCCGCAGTCTTTGCGGTCACGGGAGCCCTCGCACCTGTATTTTGTCCAAGCAAAAGAAAAATATCATTACGTTGACACCTCTCGAATTCACAGCGATGCTTACAGATCCACGCTACGATGAGTGGTTTCGCGTACACTTAAGATGTGGTCAAGCTACGTTTCTTCGGCTATGTGAGGCCCTCCGCCGTGAGCTCCGCGATTTCGAACTCGACCGCTTCGTTAAAGAGCACACATTTGAAGAGAACGTTGCCTGTCTACTCTTTTTCCTTGGTTCGCAGGGTGGTTATAGAGAAACCACAGCAGCATTTGCTGTATCCAAGTCTTGGACTGTCGAATTAATTGGCATTTTTCTCGCTGTTCTAAGCAAATCTCTGCGCAAACTTGTGCATTTCCCTCGCCAGACCAACGGATAGGAGCGTATACAAGCTGCCTTTGAAGCTAAAGGCAGAATTCCCGGCGTAGTAGGTGCTATCTTTGAAGCTAAAGGCAGAATTCCCGGCGTAGTAGGTGCTATCGATGAATCGTTGGTGGAGAATAACAGGTCGGACGACTTCGAAGGATATTTTTGTCGGAAGATGCACCCAGCTCTTATCGTACAAGCTGTTGTCAATGATAAAATGCAATTTATGAGCACCGAGATTCGTCCTGGCTCATGGTCTGACCAAAATGCATGGCGCGCGTCTGCATTGGGCTCTAGAATTGACAACTACTTGCCTACTGGAACCCATTTTCTTGGAGACGCAGATTATGCAATCTGCCCTGCAATTATGACGCCTTTTGTGGGTAATACCGGCGAGTGTCTGACGCGGAAGCAGCTCCTGTACAACTATCAGCATTCGCGATCACGAATCGCAGTTGAATGCAGTTTTGGCCTTTGGAAAGGTCGGTTTCGTATTGTGAAATGTCGTCTCAACACTAAAAGCGTTGAGAAGGCCGTGGATATTGTAGCAGCGACTATCGTTTTGCACATCATTCTTATGGATATGAAGGACGATACGTCTTTTGAAGATGAAGTAGCGGAATGGAAACGCGGTGGAAACTGCGACGAGGTTACGACATGCTATAACTGCATTGGTTCGTCTGCAAGGTTTTTTTTAAGATGCGGGCTCACGAAAACGAGATTATATTCTGGCCTTTACAGAAGCATTTGCTTCACTTTAAAAAATTAGCTAAGCTAGTTTCTGTGACGAATCAAATTTAGCAGCTCTCTCATGTTTTGGTTCTGTTCACGAAGTTGCTCGCTCTGGGTTTCAATTTGCTTTAGCAGCTGCAGGGCTTGAGCGTGCGCTCGGTCGCTCTGAATCTGGAAAAGCTCAGTTTGTATCTGGACAACCGTAGCTAGGCGGTGAGTATCTTCATTTTGCACGTCTTCAAGGCCTTTCCTAGTACAGCCAGGCCTTCGCTAAATCCCTTGGCGACAGCTCCTAAATCAGCTTCAACCCACTCACCTTGAGTACGCTTTACACGCTTGGCAGAAAAAATTCGCTGTTTGGATCAGAAATGGCTCACCGGCCCGATATATCGGGGGAGTATCCATGTCCTCGGTAATTAGATGCGGGCGGTTGTTCATGCCCGTTGTATCTCCCCAAGAGTCCTTCATGATTAAGTAATGCTTAGGACGTCTGATAGGGCCGCAATTACCAGTGCGACCCTAGTCTCCACGCGCTGAAGCCCACTTTGTCTTCATGTTTCTCATCTATAAGAGGCAAAGCAACACCAGCTAATTAACAATACCAAATCAAGTATGGTTTTGTAATCGATCACAATATACCTTGGTTTGACACTGCTGGTCTGTGAACATTTTGCTCCATTGAACAGATAGAGTAGAGGCGAGAACTACCCACACATATATAATGCGTTTTGTATTCGTCGTTTTCTTGAAGTGTTTTGCTAGTTCCTTATAGCGAATGCGAAAGAGCGCTTTCAGGTCCTCATCGCTTCAATATGCTAGAGTTTTGCTTGTAGGACCTTGTGGTACTGGTAAACTTGATAGCGGCAGCTCTGTCAGCAGCAGAGGATGCGACACAGTCAGGGAGGGAGAAACAATCGGCTTCCGTGGATAGCAGCATGCAGTCGTACATGGTGGTCATGTCCCTCGCTCTGGTGTCGTCCGTCGTGGCGGGGACGGTCAAGCTCTCCGACGAGCCCTGCGCCGACTGAGTGACATGCTGCGCCATCCTGCAGGGTTGGTTGGGTTTCGGGAAGTCTTGTAATAAAGAGACGCGATCGCCGCTGTGAGCTATTTGACCGTTTTCTCGAATGGTACCAGAGCTACACAGTCAAAACCGAGAGGCAACCGACCAGACTGGATCGGATCAGGCTAGGGCTAGGTCCATCTGAAACTGTCAAAATCGAAACGATCGTTCCCCGACCAGGGCCTATATACTGGGATTTCAGCTGTCCATTTTGGAAAACAATACCGGCATATTTTAACCGAGCATACTGGAATAAAGAGCTCGATGCGACCTTCTCAAAACCGGCTTTACTTTAGATTTGATCATACCGATATCTGTCAGATCTCCCGAATATTAAATGTCACTTAAGTGCAAATCCACCAATTGCGAATTACGACGTGAACGGTGTTAGTAGGATTGTGTGTGTTCCAAATCAAATTATCGTAACCGGTATGCCAACTTCATACTGGTAGGAACACCGCCTCCTTTGCTGCATATCATATTGTGGCGTTTCTTCACTTCACATTTGGATGAAGAAGCTGCAAGCAAAAATAAAATAAAGGGGGTACTCTTTAACATCGCAAGGACAGCTCAAGAAGCTTTTGAAGCCCCCCCCCCAGCTCGCCAGCGTCAAAGGCAGGTACTGCCCCCTTAGTCAACGTAGCTCCTCCTGGCAGAGCTGACGCCGTGGGCGTCACCGGTATCGGGGAGTCATGGACCACCGCCTCAGCCCAACGGTGCCCTCTCCTCTACGGACGAGCAAGAGCGCTGCATCACGCGGAACGACCACTGACGCACCGACTGAAGAACGAAAGGGCAAGAAGAAGGCGAGTAAGCGCGTTGTTTCGACGAACGCGGCTAGCATCGGGCGCAAGAAGGTCGACGAAGGTGTGGACGACGCGCTAGACCAATACGTAGAAGACAAAGCGGCCCACCTAAAGCCGAAGAGGACGGGGAAGGCCGCACCACCTGCGGAATCCGCGTCCACCGCCGATCCTGCTGCACCAACGAGCTTAGTGTCCTCTTTGGGCTCCTGCGAAGACTTAAATCGCAACTAATTCATGGCATCTTTCGAGACCGGCCGAGGCTCGGCGACGAGCACCCTCCACGCCTACGCTTTATGCGGAAGGTCAGCTTGACGCAGTACTATTGCACCCCCCGTGGCTCCTGGGGCGAGTGTAATGGCAGCGCTGTGCGCACCGCGCGAGGGTGTAGCTTGTCTGCGTGTAAAGCTCCGCCTAGGTTGCAGCTGATGGGAAGGAGCTCCCCAATGCATGGTAACGACACCTAACTCAAAGGGAGATCTTCCTACGCTAGACGTTCGCTTCCTGCTTCCCAGAAAATTCCGAGAAGACGAAGGGCGACTTCAATCCGCTGTAAGCTCATCTGTAGACCGCATATCGGATGCTTAGAGACTTCGGCACGGAAACAGATAAGGTTACATCTCCTATGTCGTTTGTACTGCGTGAAGTGCGTCAAGTTTGAGCGACACCAGCCGTGCTGATGGTCATCTTCAGCGGCCGTCTAGAGTTTCCGACTTGGTGGCAATGGTTGACTTTCACAATGTGTGGAAAGAGCTGAAAACGACTAGATGGTCATCGAGACCGCCACGCAGCAGACCGGACACTAGCTATCGCTACGGTTTTTCAAGTCGTAATGTAAACGGGGAGGAGGGCACACCCTATCTTCTTGGCGAAGCAGCTGTCTTCGGGCACTTCATATACCAAGGTTAGCGGACATGAATATAGACCAAAAACCTTGAGCAGGCTGAGTGTGCGAAACATATGTTGATACTGGGGAAACAGTCGAGTCGCAGTGCTTTCATCATGTCATGTTCATACAGGCTCCATCTCATCGTCGGGTTCAAATCGCATACTTTTTACTGCACCTACGTTTGCGAGGATAGCTGGTAAGAATAGGTCAGGATCGTACATTCGGTACGTAGTTGAAATTTCTGCCGAAATCTCCAAGGTCGAATCCATACACAACTCGTCGCCCACGTCAGATATCCCCACGCATGTTTAGTTGGCAGCTGCATGAGAGCTTTGTAATTCTTAACGCATGTTTAGTTGGCAGCTGCATGAGAGCTTTGTAATTCTTAACGCATGTTTAGTTGGCAGCTGCATGAGAGCCTTGTAATTCTGCACCTACCGTTGTACAAGCGCCAGATTCACCGTTTCGATGGCGTTCTGAAATTGAGTATCCAGCCACATCACTTCGGACAGGGAAGACTTTCTGGGCTTCTTGACGAGTCGACACACGCGTCCAGTGATGTACGCTGTACCCACACACTTGTAAATCTTATTCTTCATCCACGCCTCTTTGGCGGCCCGCCAACGGCGGGAGATAATGCCACCATCTTCTTTACGTATACCTCATGAATAAAGGGTGGTGGTGCTCGATTCGGTGTTGCATTGCTTGATGCACCCCAGCTTCCAAGTAATCCGCAATTCTCACCCCTGGTTTTATTTCGTATGGTGACTGTTGTCGCCGGCTCTCTAGCTACAGTGTATGCTTACCCCACCGTTTTTCGAGCAAATTACAAAGCTAACGTTCAGAAAGCAAGCGACTGGTGGAATAATCATATCAAACACTTGCAAAACGAATCTCGGGCACGACGGCCTAAGTCAGCGGTTAGAGTTCAAAGAGGAGTGCGCAAACGTCTTGATCTCAAGGCCCTGCCAGGTCGAGGACCAAAACGTGCCCCATGGGTCGAATGGGTACACAGCGTTTTGCTTGGCGAGTTTTGCCGCCTTCGCAAGTCGGGAGTTAAACTTTCTCGCGGGCTACTTCTTGAAATTGCCCAGGCCTCGTTCGATGAAGTTGGTTGTCCGTATCAAGCAAGTACAGATGATGGAAAAGGAGTGATTTTTAAAAAAAGGATTACTCCGCTTTGGATACAACGCTTTTGCGATCGATTCGATGTGGTCTCTCGCCGCCAGTGTGGCAACCTGGACTGTAGTGAAGAGAAAAAAGAGGAAATTGAGCGAAGCGTTGCGGCCCACCTTGGACGCATAAAATCCTTGTTTGACTCTGGTGATATTGATGAGAATACGACTTTTAACATGGATGAAGCTCATTTCGTCATAAATATGGACGACGGGAAAACATTAGGCTTTCGTGGAGACGAATCTGTTCGGTACCATGATGTTGTCAGTGGTGGGGAGGGCATGACTCTAGTGATTAAAATACGGGGAGGAGCAAGTGCTCGAATCGAGCCTCCCATGATAATTTTTCAGGATGCAAACAGCAGCTATCCAATCCGTGGCCTAAAGGATGATGTACCTGGTGTTACATATCGATCTGGACCCAAGGGCTGGATGGATCAGCGAGTGTTTAGCAAGTGGCTCTCCGATAAGAAGTGCAACAGACGGGAAGCGCATGATGAGGAGCAAGTTATTTACATGGATAACGCAAGTGGACACAAGTTGGATAATGTTGCAAGCATATTAGACGAAAAGCACATTGACGTCAGATTTTTGCCACCGAATTCAACACATTTGTGTCAACCAGCAAATTCGTTTATCATCAAGTCGATTAAAAGCATTTGGAGAATAAGGAAAAATGACGCTTGGCACAGCAAAAATGTTTTTCAACGCCTAATAAGGCTGGTCAGTGGTCAGGTAAATTGCAAAACCCAGGTAAAAGGTTTTACCTTGAGCTTGCAGCACGGTGCGTACGCAAAGTGAATCAGATGCGCGATGACAACGACACAACGTATCCTCGTAAAGCAATGATAATGTGTGGATTATCAAAAGGCTTGAACGGTATCTGGGAGGAGAAGCAACTTTCATCAGAGCTTCAAGAGATAATTAGTAAGTACCGGGATAACTTTGAAAGTGGTGGAGTGTGCTAGAGTGACAGATGAATAGATAGTTTCGCGAACTTGTTTTTCTTATACATTCGTTTATAGTCTGGGTTCCT